GTGTGAAAGAACAAGCCTTCCTTATTCATTTCCTTGTCTCAACCTCTCAGTTGGTTTTTTATTGCTGTGAAATGAAACTCACAAGGCAGGTTCTACTTTTTTTTTGGTTAATCTTTTAAATCCAGAACAGTTCCATGGAAAAATAAAGAAACAGTCTGTCAAAGACTTGTCACCCGAGATGGGTGCTTCCATGTGGAAACCAATCATTAATGGCTCAGTGGGAACTGAGCATTTTTTCATTAAGATGTCGAGTATAATTTCATCAGCCTGGAATTTATTCCTTTTTTCTTATCCCATTCTTTCTGGGTGGTCAGAGTCCAGTGGCTAGAAAGTCACCAGCTCTATCTTAGCATGTACCTATGTCCTGTGCCCTGGCTGATTTGCCTTGGCATTTTGAGATCTAGGAAAGGCATATGATTGTCTCTCCTCTTGGGATGGGATTTTTGTTGATTATTGGATGTACATTTTCCAAGCTTCCTCTTTCTGTTGGCTACGATGCCTTAATTCTATCCCTCCTACTGTTTACCCACTCCCAGACTTATTCAATTAAGTCAGTTCAATTCAATGAGCATTTGCTAAGGACCTACTTTGGGCCAGAAACATTGTTAAAGACCTTAGCTTAAAAGGGCCAAGGTCTCCCCCTGCATCCAGGGCCATTTCCAGTCATCTTGATCAGTATCTTGCCACTGGACCCAGATGGGTCTGGAGGACAAAGTAAGGCTGGTAATTTTGCACAGCCCTCCCTCACTTAAATCCAATTCACTTGCATGTCATGGCATCACCTCCCTGGTGTCATGGTCCTGTTCAAGAACAATGGACAAACAATAGCAACCACTACAACAACTTTGTGCCAGGCACTAGGATAAAAATACAAAGACAAAAATAAACAGCTTATTAAGGTGCTTATATCTTAGGGGGGAGGAGAATAATGTATACAGATAAATAAATATAAAATATATGGCAAGTAAGGGATAGGAATTCCAGCTGTGATTTCATTGGCATAGGGAATTACTGTTACCAAAACAATTCAAGACCTTAATCTTCGATTTGGCTAGAGTGATGTTGGCTAGATCGCCAATAGAAACAGGGGTCACTGAACCATACGTAAAGATGCCTGCAGGCTGTATATTAACTTATAAAACCACACATTTCTACTAGCTATGTTTTGTTGTATCTTTATTTTGTTAAATGTCTTTCAATTACATTTTAATCTGGTTCAACATTGTTCTGGAGTGTTGCCCTACAATGTGGCCAAGATGGCCGCCATTCTGATATCTCTGGGTTAAAACACTGAGAGCTTAAATTACTTGCCCAGAGTCACATAGCCAATACGTGTCAGGGTTAGGGTAACAATGAGCCATTATCCATGTACTAAAACAATTAAATATTCTTTATGATCTTAGGAAATAATAAGAGTAGGGACCCTCCCTCCCAACATTTCATTTGATGCTGTGTGCTACAGATTTCAGTGCATAACAAGAAAAGCTTAAGGAGGAACAAGAGGGAAAACCCTGTGGTCAGTTTTTATTAGCTACAGAATTTTTTTCTTACTATTTAGAACCACATTGATAGATGTCCCAGAAGCTAACTAGCAAGAACTGAGGAAAGTGATGTATACTCTTGGAGACTCACTTTCCTCACCTGTAGAATGGGAATGATAATAACCACATGATCTACCTTAGAAGATTGCTGTGAGTGTAACCTGTAGCTCATTATCCTCAGCTTTGGGCTTATATTATCAGGACTATCCTCCTCATATTACATATTTTTTGCCCTTATTTCCCCCACTCAGGGATACACACACACACACACACACACACGCACACACACACACACACGTTTTTATATATATAATATGTGTGTGTGTGTGTGTGTGTGTGTGTGTGTATAACATATAGAATTTCCCCCTCTAAGATATCTCAGAACATAGCTCAAATAGAGATTTTGTCTGCACAGATGTGGGGTCCCCAGGTGATGAACAAATTACCCAAGGTAATAATCCATACATCAGATGCAGGACAATCTTTATTTTACTCCAGAGAAAATGCAAAAACAACAAAGAGAGCTCATAATAGCCATAAAACTGTTGGTGAGATTTACTTCCTTCTCTGGTGAGTTTCCATTCCCTAGAGTCCTAACGCTTTTCATAATCATAGCACCACGCTGTGGTTTAGACTCCACTCAGAAGTGATAAGAACTTGTGCTGTGAGTGAGGCAAACCCCCTATATTCCAAGGAGTCCCTCTTTTACTCCAGTGACCCAGCAAGGTATCCATTCTGCGGTTACCACACTATCGGAATCTCTTCCCAGAGCACAGTTCCTATTTGACAGCTTTCCTAATCCTCCTAGTTTCTAGTGCCTCTCCATGAAATAACCTGTTATTTATTTGTGCAACAACTAGACCATGTAACAAAATACTGAATGTCCCTCATGTAACAGATATATAGAAAGAAGTGCAGATGGCCCATTCCAAAACTCCAAGGGAGACTGGATTTCCATCTTTGTTGGATGGCCACTGCTGGGCTATCTCTCCCTTACTCTCCCATCTCCAAAAGGAACATTGGGCTGGAGTCATAGCTCACTTTCATATAGAAGACATTTGAGATCTAGCATAATTATTCTTCTGGTGTTCAGTACAAAAGCTACTTCCCTTGGTTGCTCTGAGAGAAAATAGTTCTGCCCCAAACCTGAAGGATAATAGCTTATCTCATTCAGTTTAGCTTTCCCTTCCCACCATAATCTTATTACAGCAAAATTGGTCACGGATATAGAGCAAATCTGTTCGTCAAAGCAAGCCAGGTAGACGGTAATCAGGAAACTACACAGATTAGTTTAGGTGACAGAATGCACAGGATTTAGCCTGAGAGTGAGATTAAATTTCAGCTCCTAGATAGGATTTTACCCAATGAGTCCATTCTGAGCAATCTCTCGGGATGCGAGTGCTGAGAATAAAGGGACATGAGAGCAGGGTGCTATCTTGTCCAAGAGTAGTGATGCTCCTGACATTTCTAGTGCCCTTACCCCCAGTGCCTTGCAGAGCTCCCTGCATGCAGTGGGCAGTTAATAAATATTTATGAAATTGAACAAGAGATAAAACAAAGCTATTTCACTTTCATATAGTGCATTTAAGAATGACAAAGCTTTTTTCACACCTGATAGCTCACCGAATCCCCACAGGAGCTCAGTGCAGATAACCACCACCACCACCACCACCACTTTACATGGGGCAGCTAGGTAGCACAGTGGATAGAATTTTGGACTTGGAATCAGGAACCTGGACTTGACCCTGGGCAAGTCACTGTTTGCCTCAGTTTCCTCATCTATAAAATGAGCTGAAGAAGGAAATAGCAAACTACTCCAGTATCTCTGCCTAGAAAACCCCAAAGGGGTCATGAAGAGTCAGACATGACTGAGCAACAATGCATTTATATAATACTTTAAGGTTCATAAAGCATTTTATAAATATTATCTCACTTCAACATCCTTCTTTGTACATCATTTTCTCCTCTAGTGCCTAGCAAGGACTGTTTTCATTCTGTTAATGGGGGCCATCTCCAGTCATCCTGCTCTACATCTTGCCACTGGATACATGGGGCTCCAGAGGAGAAAGTGAAGTCTGGTGATTTTGCACAGCCCTCCCTCACTTAAATCCAATTCATTTGCAAGTCATGACATCACCTTTCTGATGTCATAGTCTTCGAGAACAAAGGACAAACAACCACTCTATTGATATTTACCAGCATGAATGAACAGAGCCTCTTAAAAAGTAAGGCTTGGTGTGATCTAGGCAAAATCTCCACATTTGAAGAAGGATCAATTAATTAATTAATTAATTAATCAGTCAATTAATAAACATTTGTTAAGCACTTACTATGTGTCACTGCCCTCAAGGAGATTACCATCCAATGGGGAAGATAACATGCAAACAACTATATATAAAGCAAGCTATATAGAGGATAAATGGGAAATATTTAACAGAGGGCGGGCACTGGAGTTAAGAGGAGTTGGGAAGGCTTCCTGTGGAAGGTAGGATTTTAGAATTTAAAGGAAAATTTCCAGATGAAGGCAACAGGTAAAGGACCTCAAGGTCATGTGAGTATCAATAGGAGGGACCGAGGATGTTAAGCTCAGAGAAAAAAAAAACACTTGAGGGCCATGCTAACTGCTTTCATATATTTAAAAGGCTATCCCATGAAAGAAGGATTAGCTATAGTCTGCTTGTCCCCAGAGGGCAGAACCAGGGTGAACTGGTGAATATTGTTGGAAGGCATATTTAGGCTTGATATTAGGGAAATGGTTCCTAAGAATTAGGGTTTTTCTCAAGTAGAGTGGCCCGTCAGCTGCATAGTGGGCTCTTCCTCATTGGAATTTGTCAAACAGAGGCCAGAATGCCACCTATCTGGGAAGTTCTAGAGACCCTTGTTTAGGTCCAGGTTGGACTAGCAAACTCCTGAACTCCCTGCCCACATTGAGATTCTGAGAGAACAGCCTAGAGCAGGTCCAGCTGGCTCACTGCGAAGGAGTCAGATCATAAGCTAAGATACTATACCTGCGATGAAAGTGGAAACAAAAACAGAACAGCTGAAATGCAGTTTTCTCTCTGAGCTGTTCTGTATCCAGCCAGAAAGAAAGAAAAACTCTCCTGGCGTGGGGAAGAACTTACCGGCATCAAAGGCTTGGTCATGAGGGTTTGAGAAGATGATGAGGCAGATAGACTAAAGACACACATCAAAAAATTAAAAAAAAGAAACACAACCCAAGAGGAGTGCCTTAGTGCTCTCCGACAAACCGGAGAAGGCTGCGGCTGCTCTCTTTCTCAGATCACCTGCCTGTGCACATCCCTCACCACTACAAACTGTTGCTAAGTATTTTTAGTGAGGCCAAAAGTTCCCTTAAGCACCATAATTATCTCAGTTGGGGATGTCAGGAGGGTTTACAGTGAAAGAAGGCTCCTGCCTGCTGCAAACATGATAATAAGGTACATTCTGCTCTGTTTTTAGAGCTGTGAAACAGGAAGTCACTGCCTGCTGCTCCTACATATGGACCAGGGGATTCTATTGTCCTACAGGGAGCCATCGACATAACGTCTCTACTGTGGAATAGAGTAAGGTATTCGCCCTGCACCAATTACATCCTAGGAGCGAGCATTCACATTTTGCCGAAAAATCTTTGCTCATTAGTTGCTGGCTGCTGATGAGGCTTTTGCTCTTGGGGAAGAGGAAGCAATGCAAACAAGCTCCCAAAAAGGACTGAACAAAACCCTGAAGTTATTGAGAGCAGGGTGTACCCATAACAAAAAGCCATATGAGGATGGAAGCCCCAAGTTCAGCACCGAGCATCCACCCACGTAGGACGGTGCAAAATGTACACGCGCTAGCACAGTCCCTGCCTCCCACGAAAGACCAAGAGAAGGCATCGTGACACGACCTGTACTTTCTTCCATTTGTTCCATGCAATCACACAGAAAAGGACGTATTTGGTTGGCTTTATCCTGGGGGGGTCCCCTTTACATTTCTCCTTCCTGTGGCACAGATGGTCTTGTCTTTTCCCATTAGAATGCATGCTTTTTAAGGGCAAAGGCTGTCTTTCTGCTTGTATTTGTATTCCCAGCACTTAGCACAGTATTAGTACATAGTAAGCACTTTCTCATCTATCTCTCCATCCATCTAACAATCTATTATCTACCTACCTTTCTATTATTTATTACCTATCTATCATCTATGGATAGATGTATTATCTATTTGTTATTTATCATCTGCCTATCTATCATCTATCTATCCATTCATCCATCCATCCACCCACCCACCCATCCATCCATCCATCCATCCACCCACCTACTCACCTATCTATCTATCTATCTATCTATCTATCTATCTATCTATCTATCTATCTATCTATCTTCTATTTATCATCTGCCTATCATCAATCTTTCTACCATCTATGTATTAATCTGCTATCTATCACCTATCTCTCTTTTATCTATTGATCAGCCTATCATCTATCTGCTATTTATAACCTGCTGGTCTATCATCTGTTTTTTCTGTTTATCTGTAATTTATTGTCTACATATCTATCTATAATCTACCTGTCTTTCTACCATCTATCTACAATCTACATATTATCTGTCATCTATCTCTTATCTGTCTATCTGTCTATTTGCTATTTAACACCTTCCTAATATCTGTCATCTATTTGCTGTTTTCATCTGCCTATCATCTATCTCTATCCATGTATCTATGTATCTATGTATCTATGTATCTATGTATCTATGTATCTATCTATCTATGTATCTATGTATCTATCTATCTATCTATCTGTCATCTAGTCTAAACCTTTTCTTTTATAGATGTGGAATCTAAGACCCACAGATGTTATGTGACTTATGCAATGTTACATGAGCTGAATATCTTATTAGCAAATATCAAATGCCTATGTACACATTGTTGATGTATTGAAGGGATTGGGTGCATAAAAAGGTATCTCACCTGTAAGAGCTTATATTGTGGTAAGCGAGACAATCTACTTACACTAATAGCTATAAGGCTGAATATGCTAAGTATCAAAAGTTTGATTTAATGCAATAAGCATTTATTAAGCACCAACTGTGTGCCAAGCTAGAGGCTGGATATGTAAAGAAAAAAACAGTCTTTCCCTTCAAGGAGCCTCTGCTCTGTTGGCAACATGCAATAAGTAGTCTGGTAAGGAAAATCAAGATATATACAAAATAAAGACATAGGAATCTCATGGGACTGGGAAATTAACAAAAAGGAAAAATTAGAATAAGCTTCTTGCAGGAGGTAGTATTTGAACTGAGGCTTGAAGGAAAATGGGAGTTCTACCATGAAGAAACGATAATGAATAACATTCTAGTCATGGAAAATAACTTTGCAAAGCCACAGAGATTGGATATGCTAGGTGGTGCAGTGGATGATAGAACTTGGGGTTTGTAGTCAGGAAGACAAGTTCAAATATGGCCTCAGACACTTATTAGCTGTATGACTTTAGGCAAGTCACTTGATATTCCTGCCTCAGTTTCCTTATCTGCAAAATAGGGATCATAATAGCACCTGCCTCTGAAGATTGTGATCAAATAAAGTAATAATTGTAAAATGTTTGGCAAATAGTAAGTAGTATATAAAGGTTAACTATTGTTGGTTACAGTGCTGTATACCAGGAATAGTGTTAGGTCTTATTTGGCTGAAATGTAGAGTGTATAAGGGAAACTGATATATGAGCAGTCTGGAAAGCTAGGCTGGAGTTGGTCTGTGAAGGGGTGTAAAATGCCAAACAGAAAGATTGTTTTTATCCTAGAGGCAAGAAGGAGCCATTGAAATTTCCTGAGCTGGGGAATAAGCTGATCAGACCCCTTTGAGAACATAAATTTGATGGCCTATAGGATTTAGAATGGGAAGGAAGCTTAGAGCTTCTCTAAGTTCAGACCAATGAGCAAACTAAGTCACAGAAAGGGGAAGCGACTTGCTTAAAGTCACATAATGAATGAGAAAGCTGGGATTTGAACCCAGACCCTTCAACTTTAATTCCAAGGTCCTTTCCAGTACACCAAGCTACCTCCTCTGAGAGTTTCAGGGAAGGAGAGCTCACTTCTAGTAGAAGTGTTCAGGGAAGGTTTCATAGAGGAGGAAATGTCTGAGCTACGTCTTGGGGAAGTGGAGATGTGAAGAAGGGTATTCCAGATGCATAAAAGTGCTAAACAAAAGGCAATTCACAGCCGAAAGTATTTATTAGGCACTTGCTGTTTACCAGGCACTGTGCTAAGAACCAAGGACACAAACAAGATGAAAAATGCTCATTGCTTGCAAAGAGATCACATTCTAATTGTGGAGACAACTTGAAAACTTTAACTGTGTACATGTATAATATATGCAGAATAAATAGGAAGCAGTCTCAGAAAGAAGGCACCAGAAAGGAGTTTCCTGGGAAAGGTCTCTGGTAGAGGATGGGATGAGCTGTGTTGAAGGAGGCCAAGGAAGCCAAGAGATAACAGTGAGGAAGTAACAGAGAGCATTTTGGGTGCAGGAAGATATGTGTAAAGGCATCGAGTCAGGAGATAGAATGCCATTTGAGGATGAGCAGGTAGGCATTGTGGCTGATCACAGTATATGGATTAAAGTGTAAGATGAGAGGGGTGGTGGGATAGTTGATAGAGCGCCATCTCTGAGTTCAAATCTGGCCTCAGATACTCACTAGTTTTTGATCCTGGGCAGGTCGCTTAACCCTGATTGCCTAAAAAAGGATGGAAAAGATGTTGTAAAGGGGTTTAAATGAGAACCAGAGTTTTTTATATATGCACTTGTGGGTGATAGGAAGCAACTAAGGCATAGGATTCTTGAAGGCAAGGATTTGTTTTTCTTTATATTCCTATTCTAGTAGAGTAAATAGTAAATATGAATAGTAAAGATAAATAAAGAATTTCTAGAAAAGCAGGGAATAAAATAGTCAGACCTGCACTAAAGATGAACATTTTGGTGCCTGAGTGAAGGATGGATTGGATTTGGGAGAGACTTGAGTCAGGGAGACCTTAGACCCAATGAATAATTCAGTTAGGTTAGATAAGACATTTATTAGGCACTTATTATATTCCAGGCAATGTACTAAGGTCTGGGGATATAAGTACAAGAAAAAAGAAAGTATCAACTTTTAAAGTATCATGGTGCCTGACACTGTGCTGAGCTCTGAGGATACAAAAAGAATCAAAAGATAGTCCCTACCCTCAAAGAGCTTACATTCTAATGGGAGAAGGGAACTGAAAGAGAAAGGGAGAGGAAGGTGGGAAAGCAGTCCAAAGGGTCTGGGGCTGAGCTAGATTTGAAGTATATATGGCTGGCACAACTACTTTCTTAAAGGAACTCACCAATAGGAAGAGGAAACCACAGGGGTGGAGGCATTGCCAACATGAAAAGACTGCTGGAGTGGAGATGGAAATGTCATTTGGAGAGTAAGGCACTATCTTATTTTGGCTGGAAATTAAAGTATACCTAGGGGAGCAGAAAGAAATAAAGCTAGAAAGATATGGAAAGATATTAAAGCCAAAAGAAAGGTCATTCAGGTCTTGGCTTTATTCACTAAACTCCACTGCTTCTATATAGAAAATGTATACAAAGTAAAAACAAGGTAATTTAGGGGAGCACTAGCAGCTGGGGAGACTAGGAAAGGCTTCAGAGGCGATGCTTGAGTCTTGAAGAAAAGTAGGGATTCTTAGAGCGAAGATGGCGAAGAAGGAGCTCTTTTTTGAGATGGGAGATGGAGTATAATGTGTGAAGAAAAGCAGTAAATCAGTTTGACTGGACCAAAGACTGTGGATAGCAGAATCATGTATAAGGTCAAAATATAGTTTGAAGCCAGGTTGTCAAAGGCTTTAAAAGCTAAACAGAGGAGGACATGAGGCTTATGTCATAGATTGAGTACTTGTATCTGCCAGGTACCTGTCTACATGCCACACTTCAGACTACTCAGGAACTTAGCAATTAATTTCTGGCTATTGGCTCTAGAGGGTGGGTTAGGAGACAGACCTGGTAAAAGAATGCTTTACTTGGTATAACCCATCCCAATTCCTGGAAACTCAAAAACAGCTATTTTTGTATACAAAGGATACCTCCTCTTTCAGTTTTTTTATGGCAAACATGAGAATGGAGAGTTGTCATATCTGTGATGTACAGAGCCAGGGGAAGATTTTTGACTCACAGAGCATCATGCATTTCAAACGGAGGGTGGATACATGAATTTAGTCCTGTGAGTTGTTGCTCCCGCGATTTCCCACTGAGGCAGAATAGGCCAGGCTACCATCCTACACTGCCAGCCCAGGGAAGGAAGGTAAACTGTTTACATTTGTAGCTTTTATGTCAGAATTCCCCTTCTGACCCAAAGAATCATAGGAGCATAGATTTAGAGTTCAAAGGGACCTTAGGGGTCATGGAATTATAACTCCCCCATTTTACAGATGAGGAAACTGAGGCCCAAAGAGGGGAAGTGATTTTTGCTAGGATCACTCAGGTAGTAAATATCAGAGTGGGTCAAATTCAGGTCTTCCTAACTTGATCCCCCATGTCATGTAGCTCTCAGGGTATTTCCATAGCCTGTTGCTTTCACTCTTAGATTCATGCTGTATCAGAATTAGAGAGGACTCCAGAAGTCAATAGTCCAACAGAATGGGTATCCCCTCAACAACACATCTGATAAATGGTCACCCAGCCTTTGCTTGAAGACTTCTAACCACAGGAAATCAACATGCTGCAAGGCCAACCATTCCACCTTTGGAATAATTCCAATTATTAAGATGGTGTCTCTCATATTAAGCCTAAATTTGCCTCTTTGCTGTCCACCCATTGTCCTGGTTCTGATCTCTGGGAATGAACAGAACAAATCAAATACATCTTCTACAAGACCATCTTTCAATCACTTGAAATGATCTCCCTCCTCTGGCCTTCCCTCACCTCCCCACCCCAGTCTTCTCTTCTCCTGGCTAAATATCTCCAGTTTTCCAACTATTTCTCATATGGCATGGAGTTGAGGCCCCTGCATCATCCTTATCTTTCATCTTTGGATGGTCTCCAGGCTATCAATGTCCTTCCAAAACATGGTACCTAGACCTAACACAGTACAAAGTAAAGCAGGACCTCCCCTCCTAACTATTACACCGGGAAACTCAATGTCATTTGCCACTCATCATGGGTAACCACTCAGGCTCATGAGACTTCAAATATAAAAGTTTTTATTTACAAAGCAAAAGACATGGAATTAATAAAAGGTGGCATTTATCTAGTGCTCTCAGGTTTGCAAAGTGCTTTATGTATGTTATCACGTCTGACCCTCCTGTAACACAGGTGTTGTTATTATCTCCATTTTACAGACTGAGACCTGAGAGTGACCAAGGAACTTGACCAGCATCACCCAGATAGTAAGTATCTGAAGCAGGGTTAGAACTTCAGTCTTTCTAATTCCCCATTGAACATGCTACCTATTATATCATGTAGCTGCCTCTACAAAGGACTTGCATTTGAACTCCTAAAGAATCCAAGACTCTTCAGAAGGTGACCATGCTCCATAGAAATGTACGGACTCCATAGCTTATCGAATTGCCCCAAATGGCACTCCAACAGGGAATGTCATGGTTCTTTCCTCTCAGGTCACTTCCCATGTTATGTTGCCTGGTCGCTGGCAGCTGTCCTGTGATTGCTCTTCTTACATGTCCTGTGGTGCTCTTCTCCAACCTGATGGGTGACGTAGGTTCTATAATTACAGGTGCTGTTTCCTGTTCTCAACCGGTGTCCTGGCCCACCACTGCCGTCACATTATAGTCTGAGCTGTGGGTCTTCTTACCACTGTTATCATTCATCTCATCTGACTTCAGCTCCCTCAGCTCTACCCTCCTCCAACAGATTGATGCTCATTATGTTCTCTTCAGGGGACCAGCCCTTGAGTAGATAACAAGAGTCTTAACTTTTTTCACACCTCTAAGCCAGATCTAACTCTCTTTTTGAAATTTTCTGTTAGAAACCACAGCCTCCTCCTTCACAAAAAGGGTCTCTTCAGATTACTTTGGGAATTTCTCCCCCTTGGCCTGTTTTTCACTCTAGGATAGCTCATGGTGAGTCTGTCCCATTTGCCTCCTCTTTCCCTTAAACCTGCCATTTTGTCTTGGGGCTCAGAGGGGACACACCTACTCTCGTTCCATTTGTGTTTCTTTCTCCTAACCCTGGAAATTACCAAGGGATGATTCTTCAAAGCTTTCAAAATAAGAGACAATAAAATTGTGAACCCTGTGGCTTGCCATGTCAATAGGTTCCCAAGGGCAAAGCTTTGCGTCTTCCTTATACACTTATATAGAAACCTATTTGGAGTAACAATGTCTTATTTAGATTGCTGTTGTTCAGTCATTTCTTCAGTCATGTCCAACTCTTTGTCATCTCATTTGGGGTTTTCTTGGCAAAGATAGAGGAGTGATTTGCCATTTCCTTCTCTAGCTCATTTGACAGATGAGAAAACTGAGGCAAATAGGGTTAAGCGACTTGCCCAGGATCACACAGCTAGTGAGTTTCTGAGGTCAGATTTGAGCTCTGGTCTTCCTGACTCCAGGCCCAATGCTCTATCCATTGTGCCACCTGGTTGTTTTTATATTTCTAAAGTATCTCATTAATCAATTGGTCAACAAATATGCATTAAGCACATATTATTTGTCAGTCATTGTGCTGGGATACTGAGGATCATAATATCATAGATTTAGAGGTGAGAGGGAAATTAGAAGCCATATAATCCAACCCTTTCATTTTAACAATTAAAAATTAGCAATAACAAGTCTTTATATAGCCATGAAGGTTTACAAAATTCTTTACCTATATTATCTTGTTTGATCCTCACAACATCCTAGTGAGGTAGGCATTATTATTATCCCCATTTTGCAGAAACTGGGACTGACAGAACATCAGGTAGGTGATTTGCACAATATCGCACAGCTGGTAAATGTCTGAGGCACAATTTGATGGGGAAACTGAGGCATAGAGAGGCTAAGTAACTTCCCAAGGATATACAGATGATAATTAGTAGAGCTGGCTCCTTGGACTCTCAACTCTTAACTCTTTCTCCTGTGCCATGGACTCTTTTCTTTAAAAAAAAGTATAGAATCCCGGACTAGAAGAGACCTCATTGTAAAGATGAGGAAACTGAGGGCCAGAGACATTAAGTTCCTCAATCAAGTTCATACAGCTGGTAAGTAGCAGAGAAAAAACTTGAATCCTATTTAACAATATTTAACAAACATTCCCTGCATCTACCCTACCACGGGCCTTTATTTGTATTCACTTCAACCTTTCCATCTTCATTTCTTTCTGTTTTCAGTCCATTTTTGCCTTACTACTACCAGACAAAGCTTCCTTATGTATTGATTTGTCAATGTCATCAATCTGCTCAAGAAACCTTTAGGGTCTCCCTATTGCCTCCCAACCAAAGTTTGAACTCTTTTACCTGACATTCTAGGCTTACCAGTCTCATGCCACATGCTTTTCCAACCTCATCTTACATGAGTCCTCACCATTTACACTATGCTATGCTCCTTGTACATGCTCTGTGCTCTCTTTCCTTTACGATCCTGTTTTTGCTCTTCCCTAAATCTGTAATGTCCTAGTTACCTCTATGTCTTTTGTTGAACTCCCACTTCACCTTTAAGTCTGATTCCAATATCCTATCCTTCATAAAGCCTTTCCTGGTTGTCATTGCATTTTAGATCATGATTTTGTTCCTTTCTCATGTACAGTTCTTAAAATGTTATATACTGTAGTGATTAGAAAATGTTTTATTCCCCTTTCCCCATTAGACTAAAACCCAGGAGTGAGGAAAATGTGTCTTTTCCTTTTTTTTAATTAATTTATTTTGATTTATCAACAACCACTTCCATATGCTTTTGAGTTTAAACTTTTTCTCCCGCTCCCTCCCCAAGATGACGCACAATCTGATATAGGCTGTACATATACATTCCTATTAAACATATTTTCACATTAGTGATGTTGTAAGTAAGAATTAGAACCAATAGGAGGAACCACCAGAAAGAGGAAACAAACATAACAGAAGAAAAAAATAGCAAATAGGATGCTTTGATCTGCATTCAAACTCCATTGTTCTTTCTTCTTTATGGATAGCATTTTCCATCACGAGGCCTTTGGAGATGCCTTAGATCCTCGTATTGCTGAGAACCAGTCAAGTTTATCAATATTAGTTATTGCACAACATGGCTGTTACTATGTACAATATTCTCCTGGTTCTGCTCACCTCACTCAACATCAGACCATGCAAGTCTTTCCAGGTTTTTCTAAAGTTAGCTTGTTCATCATTTTTTATAGCACAATAATATTCCATTACATTCATATACCGCAACTTGTTCAGCCATTCCCCAATGGATGGGCATCCTCTCAATTTCCAATTCTTTGCCACCACAAAAAGAGCTGCTATAAATATTTTTGTATGTGTGGGTCCTTTTCCCATTTGTATGATCTCTCTGGGATATAGCCCTAGAAGTGGTACTGCTGGGTCAAAGGGTATGCACATTTTTATAGCCCTTTGGGCATAGTTCCAAATTGCTTTCCAAAATGGTTGGATCATTTCATAACTCCACCAACAATGCATTAGTGTTCCAATTTTCCCACATCTTCTCCAACATTTATAATTTTTCTGTTTTGTCATCTTGGCCGATCTGATAGAGGGTGATGTACCTCAGAGTTGTTTTGATTTTCATTTCTCTCATCAATAGTGATTTAGAGCATTTTTTCATATGGCTATAGATGGCTTTAATTTCTTCATCTAAGAACTGTCTGTTCACATCCGTTGACCATTTATCAATTGGAGAATGACTTGTGTTCTTATAAATTTGGCTTAATTCTCTACATATTTTAGAAATGAGGCACTTATCAGAGAGACTGGCTGTAAAATTCTTTCCCAGTTTTCTGCTTTCCTTCTAATCTTGGTTGCATTGGCTTTGTTTGCGCAAAAAGAAAGTGTGTCTTTTTCAATTTTTCTTCAGATCTTGAGATCTCACTCTGCAGTATCTCTCCATCTTGCTGGCCTCCTTCTTCCATTGGTGATTTCCTTCTGGAACCTCCATTTTTCAGATGAGCTCAGGCTGGCCAAGTTTTATTTTCCTCCCAGCTGCTGCTTCTGAATCTATGGACTTCTCCATGGCCCTGTGTGGGTACCTTATTCCTATGCCTACTTTTCCAGCCTTCTTTACTTTCTGTTTTCCACTATTAGAATGGAAACCCCTTGAAGTCAGGGACTATCTTTCTCTTTTTGTTTATATTTGCATCCCTGATGCTTAGCACAGTACCTGATCCATAATAAATGCTTAATAAATCCTCGTTGCCTTTTCCTATACACTGTTAGTGTCAATAAATGCTTTGCAAACTGAACTGAATACCCTTCAATCCCTATCACAATATAGTAAGCCATAGTGATGTAGGTAAGTCAGCACAGAATACTATAGTGGGAAGAACATTGGCTCTGGAGTCAGAGGAACCATGTTCAAGTCCTAGATCTGGTATTTTCTTTCTTTGTAACTTTGAGCAAGCCACCTAAACACTTTAGGTGTCAATTTCCTGATCTATAAAATAAAAGGGCTAGACTAGATGGCTTGAAGATCTCACTCCCAGCTCTAAATTCATGATTTTTTGATCCTTAGTAGATGATGTGGGCACAAAGACAAAGGACTTATTGCTCTCAAGAAGCATACATTCAACTAGGAGGAAATTATAGTTACACAGATTGGAAAATACAAAATATATGCTAACTAAAAATGAAGTAATTGGGGTGGATAGGACTTTAACAACTGGACAGACTGGGATAGTATTGAAGATGGTCCTTAAGTGAGCTTTGAAGGGATATGAAGTGATGGAAGTGAGGAGGGAGCAAATTTCAAGAATAGGAAATGGTTTATTCCAGGGCCCAGGGTATAGAAGATGAAATGCTAAGTTTAGATGACAGTGAGCAGGCCAGTTTAGCCAGAACCCAGAGTATGCAAAAGGGATGAAGGTACAATAATCCCAGAAAGTAGACTGAACCTAGAGTTTTAAGGTCAGTGTGACATGAATAGGTAGCGCATGGGCCTTGGTGTCAAGAAGACCTAGGTCCATTCCCCAACTCAGACACTTTACAGTAGTTGTATGACCCTACACAAGTCACTTAACTTCCTATCAAGCTCCGGTTTCATACTTTTTATTTCCTTTCCCAAAGGTCTTTGTGAGGATTAAGCAAAACTTACTTGGCAAAATAAGGACTCAGCAAACTTTAATGGGCTCTATGAAGATCAGCTTTTATTTTCTACTCTGTGAAGGCTCAGCAGGAATTTACATCACATACCGTTTTCTCAGGTCTCTGCCAGGCAGAAATTATAGATTTGCCCTTATTCCCTGTCTC